TGAAATGTGTTATTATTTGTGTTAGTATTTTCATTTTTCTCCCTAGTTATCTTTATTTAAGATTTATTTTATATTATACCAAATTTAGCTGCTGTCAAATCACAAGACTTCATTTTTTGAAACTCAATATATATTTTACAAAAATTTTAAATGCATTTTCACAGTAGTAATTTTTTGAGCATACACCCCCCAAAATATTTAGTAATTAACTTATAAATCATGCATGCAAATAGATATGCATATATCACCATACTCAGATCGGATCACATTATAAATTACACACAAAACCAAAATTTTAAAAGAATAAGATACACACCTCATGATTCAGGGTCTGAACCCAGGCGCTTTACCACTGAGCCGTACTCCTAGCTCTTTTTATTTTTTATATTTTATTTTGAGACAAGGTCTCCCTAAGTTACTAAAGATCTTGCTAAGTTGCTAAGGCTAGCCTCAAACTTGTGATACTTCTGCCTCAGCCTCCCAAGTCACTGGGATTACAGGTGTGTGCCACAGCACCCAGCCAATCATCAGAATTTTTTATTTGTTCTTTTTAGTTATCTATGTCAGTAGACATATTTATTTGACATATTTGTACAAACATGGAGTACATCTTATTCTAATTAGGATCCCAATCTTGTGTACATGATGTGAAAATTCACTGTGGTGTATTTAAAATGTACATAGGAAAGTTAAGACAGACTCATTCCACTTCTTATTCCTATTCCCCGCTCCCTTCTATTCATTCCCCTTTGTCTAATCTACTAAACTTCTGTTCTTCCCTCACCCCCATTTGTTATGTGTTAACACCCAGATAGCATCAGAAAGAACGTTTGACTTTTGATTTTAGGGGATTGGCTTATTTTGCTTGATCTTATATATAAATACAATAGTATATATAAATAGACTTAGTTTCACTTCTGTTCTAATTCTTATGGCTCTTTCTTTTATTGTGGCCTAATTGGATTGACTAGAACTTCCAGTATATTTTTAAATAATAGTGAATTTAATGTATATCCTTGTCTGGTTCTTTGCCTTTTTAAAGATGTCCCTGTTTTTTTCCACTGAGTAACACACCCTATTTAGGACTGTGATGTGATGTGAGGTGAGGTGAGTGCATGTGTGCATGTGTAGTTATTGATATTCTTTAATACTAAAGAAGAATGTTTATAGCAGATCAATTCACAATAGCTAAACTGTGGAAGCAACCTAGATGCCCTTCAGTAGATGAATGGGTAGAGAAACTGTGGTATATATGCACAATGGAATATATTCAGCATTAAAAGAGAATAAAATCATGGCATTTGCAGGTAAATGGATGGAGTTGGACACTAAGTGACATAAGCTAATCCCAAAAAACCGAAGGCTGAATGTTTTCTAATATGTGGATGCTGATAGATAATGGAGGTTGTGGGGCAACATGGGAGGAATGGAGAAAGTTTATATAGGACAAAGGGGGGGAGGAGGAAAGAGAGGAGGCATGTGGATAGGAAAGATGGTGGAATGAGATGGACATCATTACTCTAAGTACATATATGAAGACACTAATGGTGTGACTCTACTTTGTGTACAACCAGAGACACGAAAAATTGTGTTCTATATGTGTGCTATGAATTGAAATGCATTCTGCTGTTATGTATAACAATTTAGAATAAATAAATAAATTTAAAATAAGGAAAAAGAAGAAATCATCAGTTTCTATTTTATTTAGTGTTTTAATTAGGAATGGCTGTCAATTTTACTCAAAGACCATTTTAGCATCTATGAAGATGACCATATGATTTTCTACTTAAATTTACAAATATGATTAATTATGCTAGTAGATTACCTAATACTGAACCATCCTTACATTTTTAGAATAAATATAATTTGGCCATGATACTTTATTTGTATGATGTCATCTTAGATTCTGTTTGCTTTGCTTATATGTTATTTGGATTTTTACCTTTATATTCATAAATGAGATCAATCTTTTGGGGGATGGGGGCACTGGGGATGAAACTCAGGGGCACTCAACTCAATCAATGAGCCACATCCCCATCCCTATTTTGTATTTTATTTAGAGACAGGTTCTCACTGAGTTGCTTAGGAATACTCCTGCCTTAGCCTCCAGAGCCGCTGGGACTATAGGAGTGCACCAACACACCTGGCCCATCTTTTTTTGTGTTATCTTTAATTTCTGTTTCGTTAAAACAGCTTCATGTTTTTCTTCTTTTTCTATACTCAGAAACAATTTAAGAAGCATTGGAAGTATATGAACTTTGAAAGTTTAGGGGAATTCTCTTGTGAAATCCGAGCCTGTCCCTTTTATAATAAATAGCTTTCTCCATTTATCTTATGGAAACTGGAGGCTCTTGTGTGATTTTGCTAAGCAAGAATGCTCCCATCGCCTACAAAGCTTACTCTTAGAGCAAATAGCTGTATGTTCTCAAGGTCTAGCTCATATGCCATCTTCCCACTGCACCCTGACTCCAGGACAGAGTCAATCTGTCCCTTTTTTCCTTTATATCTTTCTCTTTCTCCCTCCCTCCTTCTTTCCTCCCCCTCCGTTTCTCTGTCCATCCTCCCTTTATTCCTTCCCTCCTTCCTTCTTTCCTCTTCTCATTCCTCCCATCCTTACATCTTTCCCTCCATTGTATTATGTGTATGTCTTACAGATCTGACCACATTTGTGTAGTAACACACTTATTTATGGAGGTGCTTATATCTTCAGCCTCTCTGAGACGTGAAGCTAGTCATGTTTAATTCCTCATCTCCCAAACTGTTTAACCGTTGGTAGATATTCAATAACTACATTTTGAGTAATAATGAAGGAAGGAAGGAAAACATAATGAAAGCCTAGTCCAATGGGAGCCATATTCTATCAATGAAAAAATGTAGACTTTATAGTCAGATATGCTGGAGTTACTCTCCTAGTTCCTCCCCAGCAAGTACGTGACATCAGCCAGTTACTTTCTGAGTGTTTCTTCTATTTATCTGTAAAACATAAGTAAGTTTTCATAGTTTTTTTGTTGTTATTGTTGTTTTTTTCAGTTATAGATGGATACAATACATTTATTTTTATTTATTTATTTTTATGTGTTGCTGAAGATCAAACCCAGTGCCTCACACATGCTAGGCAAGCACTCTACCACTGAGCTACAGCCCCAGCCCCTCATAGGGGTTTTGTGTTCAGAACGTATGTAAAATTCCCCGTATTCAGTACTATATCAACAGAGAATTCTTTCTTTTCCACTTCTTTCCATCGAAAGCCTTCCTTTGAGTTCTTACAACAATTCCTAGAGAAACCAAGGGATGTGGCCCTCTCTCCTGTTGGACCATAGCTCAGGATGCAGCCTCCATTGAGCCGCTCCCTTGGAAAGGGCCTCTTCCAAGGACAAAATTCTCCAGTCCAAGGAAATTCCAAACTGGGTTGTGTCTCTGAGATCTTTACATACATTCTTTTCACAGAGGAAAGTTTACATTAGTTTAATGTAGGTAGGAAAAGTGCATTTTGAACATCAAAACACTGTATTCTGAACAACAAATTACCAGTCCTCATACCTGGGCTTGCTTCCCAGTTTTTTTGTGCAATTTTCCCAGACAGCAAATTAATTAAATGGCCTTTGGCCACAATTCTTTCCCTTGTGTCAGCTTTTCTCTCGTTTAAAGCATAGAGATGGGGGATTTAATTAGCCCAATGCCTGGCACATTGTGTGCATTCAATATGTTTGTGGAACCTTGGAATTATCTTCAGATGAAGGTCACTTTTGCTATTAATATTAATTTAGGAGCGTATAAGTAATTCCCGTGCTGATAATACTGACAATAAGCAAAGATTGAAGAAAAGTTAACTCATAACCCACAGGATGTGCCATGAGAATTCAGACCGTCACCCAACTCACCTCTACTTCACATGCTCTGGGATTTTAAAACTGTCAAGATCTGCACCAACCATGAACATATTTCTCCTGCAAGGAATATGTATGTATTTGTGTGTGTGTGTGTGTGTGTGTGTGTAAACCGAGACTAAATATAGAGTCCCTGTTCTTTGTGTAAGCTACTTAAGACAAAGGATATTATCTTTTAATTTTTTATCTCTTCAGCAAGTTGTTATTGCTAGTTGCATCCCAAAATTATTTATAAATTATGAACAGTTTTAAAATCCTTTTTAAAAACAAATTTCTTAGAAAATGTTTTCCTTGAAATAGTGTTTTCACTGACCTAGAAAATTTTTCTTAGCTGTTGCCATATTCAACATTTCTCACTGATGATGTATGTGGTGATGATGGCATTGAGCAGAAAAAGCTCAAGGAAATACACATGGTGTTGATATTTTACTAAAACGAATGTAGCACTCACTTGTAATCATAAATTAATTTTTAAGTAAAAATCTGATTTTCCAGTGTCATTCCCTTAAGCCTGCTCCTTTATAGGCCTGAAGTCTATGTGAATTTACACAGCTGCTTTGAAGCTATGCATATTTCCTTGTTTTAGGTTCTTTGATTTTTTTAAAGGGGTATTTTTATACTGAAATAAAAACTATTAACACTAGCTTCAGGGGGAAAAGAAACTAACAACCCTACAGCTTAAAATGTTTTAATGCTTTGCCTTTAAAATCTTGCACATCCTTTAGAAGCTACAAAAATAAAAGCTACCCCCTGCAAAAAAAAAAAAAAAAAAAAAAAAAGAAAAGAAAAAAAAGATTGAGGACAAACTGTCAAGATTTTGGAACATGTTAGTGGAAGTACAGGTGTTAACACTAGAGAGATTGCTTCTGTGTAAAATGATGCTTTTAAACAGCTACTGTTTAAATGTTTTAGAATCCCTTCTTGGGCACAGGCGCCTCTGTATTGCCACCATTACCACAAGATGCAAGCAGTACAGCAGAATGTTTTCTGCATGGTACCCAGCCAAAAGCGAAACAAGTTGCCTACTGACAGAGAGGCCATTTATAGAACATACTCATTTACACAAGGGCTAGGCAGCAGGAAAAGCAATGCAAAGAAGTAACGTCTCTTTACCTTGCTTGGAGCAACCCTGACGCGGAGAGCCATGCGCACAACCTACATCAAGGAGGTGATGAGATCCGTGCTCCTTATACTGATGACATCTGGAAGAAGAGACAATTGTCACCGTGAGCTTTTCAATTACTCCTGGAGACTAAGTGTGAAACGCAGTAGTGCAGGATGATTGGATTACACAAAATGAGACAGAAGCCATCTGTGAGCCATGCGTAAGCTGCTGAGTGCCAAAATGAACATCCTTATTAGACGACTGAGTTCTCATACCATTTGTAGTTTGGTCAAATTTGAAGGATGAGTGGATTGTTTTTAAACAGTGCCGCAAATAGGCAGTGACGTGGAATTGTCCCTGGCTGCATGAGTAATTACTGCCTCGTATTTAAACTGGAAACATGGGTTTTTCAGTTAGGAGCTCTTGAGATTGTCCCCAAAGGCTGCTGCTGCCATTCATGTGAAAGCATGATACTTCCACTTGCAAGGGACACATACTTCTGGAGAAAGGACTCACTGTTTCCTTTCACATTGTGGCAAAAAAAAAAAAAAAAAGCCAAAACAACAACAACAAAACCTCTGGCCTTCAGTTAGGAAACAGAAGGATTTCCATGTTCTAAAGTAATGTTCATTGTATAGTTAGATAAATGATTTCCAAAACTGTCAGGATGCAGGATTGGAGCTCTATGTACCCCAAGGCTCCAGAACCAATCCTTCCCTTACCATTGTTCATTCCTTGTCTTTTGACTACCATTGACCTTGGACAGGAATTTGCATGTGTTCTGTCATTCTTTTTCCATCCCAACACCATTCTAACTTCCCTAAAGAACACAGCTTGAATACTTACCCTTATGCATAAAAGCATGAATCTGGTAAAAGCAAACAGAGTATCTTTTACAAGCCCAGGGCATATTTTTCATCTGGATATGTTATTAAATTTGACATTCATAATGCATATTAATAACAATATCAATGCTCTTTTGTTAATATACTTTAGACAATTCCTTCAAAATGTGGTTGTGCTGTTCTCTGCTTATATTGCATGTTCTTACAAAGAAAAACTTCTGCCTCCCAATAACTTTGTAACAGCTCCCATTGTCTGCTTCAGATTTTGACAGTTAGGCCCTCAATAAATGATGATTGACAGTCAAAATCCTATGTCTTGTCCTATTTGTAACAGCAATAAACCACCCTTTTTCCCTGAAGAGGGCAGGTAGAACTCCCCATGAGTTAGAGCCCAGAGAACTGTAAAGGACATTTGCCTTTCTTGTTCTGCTTCTAACACATACAGAGCAATTTATATAAGCTCATATTCCATTTGAATTGTTCTATTAAATAGTAATAACCGCAAACCTATCCTCTTAGGAATCTGATACCTCCTAAGTGCCTTGGGAACCAACACTAATTTTATTCTAACTGTTCACTGGATAAAATATTGAAAAGTACTAATTGTGTGTGTGTGTGTGTACATACACACATGCATTTACATCTACAACAATAAACATCCTTTTTTAGGATACTATTATGATCTGTTGTGAGAGTAGACATGATACACACACATTGAAAAACACTAACTCTGTTTTCCAAAGTTGCTGTTAAATTTATGAAGTATATACCTGTGTGTACCTTACAGGTACATATGTGTGTATAGACATTTTTTTCTATATATATTCATGCACAGTACCCATATGGTAGTTAAGGAATAAAATGTACAAAATCCTCTGTAAAGAGAATTGTGACTTTTGTCACAATTTGTCATCATGTTTTAAAAAAAGTATTTGCAGTCCTTTTGTGTGATTTGTATCCAGAGTTCTTCTTTGCTAAAACCTAATTTCATTGTTTCCTTCATAGTAGAGACATTCATAAATTAACACCTTTGATTCAAGGTATCAAAGAAACATTTGCAAGAGAGTACATAATTTAGAATTTCTTCCTGATAAAAACAGAGGGGAAAATGAGTTCAGATTCACAATTACTAATACTAAATCTTTAGGGCCAGATATTATTATAATTTCAGAAAAAAAATGAATTTTATATAGATAACAGTTTTCACATATTATATTACATGCCCCAAAGGTCTGGAGCTTTACTCTGTATTCAGAAACATTCTGTGAACACCAAAACATACAAATATCCACAAGGGGGATAAATAAAAACTGTAAAACAATTTGATATCAATTTAGTTTTGTCATTAAATTAATTTAGATCAGGTAATATTCTGCCACTGAAGGGTTATAAAAGCATTTTTCACACCTTTTTAGATTTTGGATTCTTAGTTGAGGAACTGTGAGCAACTATAGATTTAATGAGAATCTGAAGATTTGATGATAGAACACTTGTTAAATTTAATTAAATTTGGCCTACAGCTGCTTCTCTATCAAACTGCACTCTAACTTAGTATAGATACAACTGCAACCTGACAGAGAATATCTTGTTGTAACAGGTAGCAGAGGCTCAGCCAATCACAGCACCTCAGTTTCAGCCAATCACAGGTTGAGAACTGATGAGACTATGTCTATTTAAGGCAAAGGCCACCTCATGCCATTCCCAAATAAGGCAATGCCAACTGTAGCCAATCAAGCTGTTTCTGAATTTCATTTCCTTTTTTCTGTCTCTAAATATTGCCTGCCCACATAGCTGGGTGGAGCTCTAGAAAACCTCTCCTAGTTCTGACAGCTGCCCAATTCATAAATCTTTCTTTGCTAAATTTAAGTTGTCGAAAGTTTTTCTTTTTACATTCGAAATACAATTTTAAATAATTGATGAAATAAAAATGAGCTTTAAGAAAGTCAAATTAACCATAAGAAACAAAAAAGTGAAATTCCTTTGTCCCCAGTGTCAGTGTCTCTGAATGAAACAGATTCCCATTGATGCTTCCAGATCCCTCTGTTAGAGCTGACTTTGCTTGGGAAGTCTGACAGTATATTTTTTAGTTTTACTGGTTCTCTCTAACCCATTTCTCCTTTTCAGGGCCTTCTACCACATCTGCTATTCACTGCCTTTTTGAAATTAAAATAAAGTACTCTACAGGATATCACTAAATCATAAAAAGATATTAAGAACAAACAGAATGGATTTTATTTCAGGGAGCCATGGAAATAACAAAGTTGGGATAATTTTTTTCGGTTTATAGCTTTAATGGAATTTCCTTTAGATTTGGTGTACACCCACACAGGCACACACTTATTTCACTGTTTCAAATTTCTTCAGCAACAAATTGTGTTCTGAAAGACAAAAATCACAAAACAGGACAGGGCAGTAAATGGAAAGTACATGGAGTCAAAAAATCATTTGGCATGGTGCCTGTTTTTGAATATCCAAATTCTATTAGACAGTAGTTTTCATATCTCCCTACTATAAAACTAAGCCAGAGTTAACAATAACTGCAAATTTGTTTAGTTGAATCTCAGTGTCTCATTTTCTCTACTTCTAAGTGAGTTGACAACATTCTGGGACTTAGCTTATGCATTATATAGCAGAGGAACATTAATAGGATAAAGAAAAGAGCTGATAAGTATATACATTGTGTCCACTTGAAATATTGTTGGGAAAGAAAACATAAATTAGAGTAATTTCAATTCCATAATCCCAGAGCAAAAATAAATATTGATTCAAAAAATGTGAGCTGGATTTTTCACTAGGAGGAGAAGACAGAATGGTAGGAAGGAGAAGGAAGGCATTTCAGATGAGATCGACTTCAAAGTGCTAGGAACAAGCCAATGAGCTTGAGAATGTGGAAGGAGACTCAGGAGGAGGTGCTGGGATGTTGACTGTTTAGAGGTCTCAAAGAACAAACAGGAACATTGTGTTTTGGTTCAAAATAAAATAGAACTCTTCTTGAAGAGCTCTGTGAAAGACTAAATCAGCATATGATGAATATTATTTTAACAGCAATAAAGTATAAAAGACTGTATCAATGGTAACTACTGGCTTGTTGGAGAAAATTTGGGATTAGATTTTCAATAGCACTTTTTTTTTTCCTACATTGGGATTGAACCCAGGAGTGGTTTAGCATTGAGTTATAACCCTAGCCCTTTTATTTTATTTTGAGACAGGGTCTCACTAAGTTGCCTAGGCTGGCCTCAAACTTGAGATCCTCCTGCCTCAACCTCTGGAATGGCTGGGATGACAAGCATGTGCTACCAAGCCAGGCTTGACATCGCTTTTATTTCACAACTTCCATGCTCCAGCTGCCTTGCATGCACAAGGCCCTAGGTTCTATCCCTTAACACCACCAAACAAACACAAAACAAAATCATATTTTGAAAACAGAGACTAGTATATGAAAGATCATAGCATAACTTTTGAAGGAGGCAACAGAAAGAGATTCAGGAGGGAATTGCAATTAGGCATTATGTGAGCGTAGGAAAAGGGACCCCTAGGTGTTTGACAATCTATTCTAGAAATTTTTCTCTCACTCTCCGTGAAGAAGCAAAAAGGTGGAAAGTTAAAAGGAAAAGTTAATAAGTCTACTTTGTATTTTAATTATTGTCAAGTACCCAGGTGCTTAAGTGAAGAGTCTCATGTACATTTAAATTACTTCTGTGCCCTAGCATATTTGTAGAAATCTAAATGAGATGTTGTTCCATTTAAAATTTAAATAATTCCCTTGAGAAAATGCCAACCAGATTGCTTGAACTAGAAGCCAATGCATAAACATGTATTTGTTATTTACGTGTTAATGTGTTCAGTATCTCGATGTTTTTTTTTTTTTTTGCACAAAACCTAAAATCCTTTAGAATATGATTTAATTGACCCCAAAATGATGTTTAAATAAGTAAACAAACAATATTGAATTTTGCAGCAGCTGCAGAGAACACAATTTATAGAAAGGACTTTTTCAAGCCGTTTCAGAAGTAATGGTTACAAAATGTGATACTCCATTGTTCCAAGGGTTCAGACAAGCCTCAGCTAGCACTTTTACAAAATGGCAGGTTCCCATCCACGAAGGCAAATTTTTTAAATGGTGACTCAGTGGAGGGAAACTTGCCTGACACTCCAGAATGCTGAGGACAATTAAGGGGCCAACTTGGCTTTGTTCTGCAGGCTCACACTGATTGAGTCAGCCTTGGCTTTGGCAAGGCAGCTGCCGGCAGAAATGTGCAGTCATTTCCCAGAGTCTATATTCTGAGAGGAACTTAACTCTTGCAAGCATAATTTGAAGTTAAAATGGCAGTGAGGGGGTTCAGGTAATTTTTAATACTTGA